TTACACACTTGCTGGCTGTACCCTGCAGTTTGTGCTTTTGCTGTTCACTGTAGATCTTGGCAACTCTACAAAATTAGAACTACCTATGAGGTGAATTATTCACTTCTACAGCTGAGCAGAAACAATGTTGATTTGATTTACTGTTTTCTATTTTGTCTATTGATTTTTGGGAGTCCCAAGAGTGTGCTCCCATAAAAGGCCATACAGAACTTTGTACTTAGTTTAACAATTTTATTTATAAAGGGTGTTCTTGCCTCCATGCTGCCTTGCCAAGTTACTCCAGGAATGAAGAACTATATTTAATTTCTATGATTAATAGAGAAAAAAGACGATATATATTACACAAGTCTCTCCCTGCTTTGTTATTTGGGGTGCCAAAATTGCAGTACGCTGTCTGGGAACAGCTAGGAAGTGGGAGAGTTCCCACCTGACAGGTTTTAGCTGCTAAAAGGCAAAAAGAACACAGATGGTTGAAACCAGCTTTCTGTACAAAACGAGCAACCAGTTTTCACCTGCATATCTAAGCAGATAAGTTTGTTGCAGGTACCAGTACAAAAGTAGGCCTCTGAAAACGCTTCTGAGAGAAACGCATTTTCAGATGTTACAGCCACTGACAAGCAATACCACACCAGATACCCAGGGCTCACAACTTCTGTACAGGGGGACTGTGTAAGGAAGGCTGCCGGACTCAGATTTTTATAGTGTGGTATTGCCTTTTGAAAGGCAGATACTGAAAATGGATAAGCTCTCAAGTGAAAAATCAATAATTCCTCCCTCTATCCCATCACTTACAGGAAGACCTAGCATGTCTAGAGGGTAAGCAGAGCATATTTTGAGGGTAGTGTTGTTATCCCCAAAATGCTTTACAGGGGTTATAACTATCATTCTCCCCATCATAATGGGAAAAAAATCATACAACTTATTAGCAGGCCTTAGAAACACCCAACTTCCTTGCTTTGTGCACTCCTCATTTGTGGTAACTCAAATCCCAGAACTGTATCTGCGCTCAAAGAAGAGTGGGAGTTTACCTTTCCCATTACTGAGTAGTCTATTCCTTTTTCCTCATGCTGGCCTTGGAAACCTGGGTGATCTTCTGGAAAATTTAAGGAAGCCCAGGTGAGCCTTTGTAAATATGTCTCAGGAACATTAATGCCTGGTTGACCATACCCCTGGTCTTGTAACTCTCCTGCGTTTTCCAACAGCAGTCTGTTTATCTTCTAAGCAGCAGATTACCTGTTCTTTCAGTCTACTCTGTTCCTGCAGATGAGCTAAAACCTAATTCCACACAGAGCTCCCAGCCAAAGAAGAGGACACTGTTCCCTTTCACTCATTGTGAAAGAACTCCTATGCTTATTTGGACTTTAATTAAATTTTACCCATGCATTATCTTTCCCTTGTCCTGTTAGACAATTTTCTCAGCTTCATGGAAGGGCCCCAGAGTCTATGGTCTTTCTGCTATTTCTGCCAGTAGTTTATAAAAAGCCATGAACATAAGTTAATTATCAGTAGCAAGAGGTGCAGGTGAAAGTCAGGACTCTAAAACTGGGAAGGATGTTCTCACCGTACTTCAGCATGACAGAATTCAGATAGATGAATCCTGGGCAGGTTTTCTTTTCTCCAGAAGTGACTGGAGGGCAATTCAGTCCTGGGCCATAAGCCAGGTGGGCTTCTGGCGTGCTTCACACACAAAACTGTGGCAGAAATGCCAGATGGCTTTAGAAAGTACCTGAGGTCGTGAACATTTCTACATGCAGGGATGCAACAGAGGTAAGCTTTTGGTGGAGCATAAACAAGGCAAATTAAACAATAAACACAGCAAGTTTGCCTCCAGATCCGTAAGTCTAGCATTCTGATAACTTTAAGTGAAATAGCCTTGCCTATAAAGAAAAACTATTATTACCCAGTAAAATACTTTGAATTGTTCTCTCTGGTTTAATACTGCATATAAAACAAAAGCAAATCTGAGAGAAAAAAGTTTTATGAAGGATTTGCTATTTTATGCCTCTGACTTCCCAAGCCCTAGGTACAGAGAATGAGATGCCTCACAACTTGTGCAGTTCTAGGACATGACTCCTCTCCTTCCATGGAAGCTGAGGCATCACATATAAAATAGGTCAGCTGAATCGCCTCTGGCTATTGGCTGTAACACAGGATCAGACAACTGTAATCATATGAGAACAGTTCCATTGGACATGAATCTTAGTGTTAGGGTCCAATTTTCAGAAATAATTTCACCTAGCTTGCAAGTGCTTAGCATTCATAAAAGCAGGCCCCAGAGGCTAAGAAGGGATACCAAATCAATAGCCCGCTTTGGACTAGCATCTGCTTCTCACTGGGAAAACTTTCTCTCCTTTACACTGCATATTCTTTCATAATATAATCTCAGGAGCTGCTGAACTAATCAAATTAATCTATCTGGAAAGGCATGTACAACAATGCAAAATCTAATGAAGCAAGAAGACACATAGTTTCTATGTCTGATTTACTTTAAAAAAGACTACATTTATTCCATTATTTGATTACTCTGCCAAACATACTATGGGCTCCCCTAAAAATGCCCCAAATTGGATGCTTGCAGGCTAACTGGAAATGAAATATTTTCAGTGCATTGACTTGTTATTAAGATGAGGGGAAATAAGAAGGAAGAAAAATGTAATCTGTGACCCAGGGAAAAGGCAAACTTAATGTGCAAGGTGTATGTAAACAGACTGAGTGTTGGCATTGCACAAAACTAAGACAAAACAAAACTAAGAGGATTTGAGCATTAGAATACCAAGTCAAAGAAGACCTCTGATCTAGTATTTATGCCTGTCCTTGAAGATTATATCTCTCAAACTTTATGTCTTATCAGTTTGATAAGAGCAGGACGTAACTGTACGCAATGTGTTTGAAAATAAAGTTCACACAAATGGGACATCTCTCATTGCCTCCTTTCTCTGCACTTCAGTCATTAAAATGTACTCTCTGCTCTCTTGATAAGTTTTATCAGAAGATAGTAGGAGCTTTTCCCAGTTTCACATTGTGGCTTTCTGTAATGATGTTTCCTGCCTTTTTAGTAGTAAAATGCAAAATTATCTTCCAAAAAGGTCCTGTCCCTCAAAATGTCCAACACCACTCTTTGCTGCCTCATACCTACAGTGTGCTGCATGCAAGCACTGTGTATGCAGGAACATAGAGTGATGGATTTGAAGTTGACATCAATGTCTTTTGAAGTTTGTACCATTAATGTCACATCCACCATTGCCCTGATACTCATGTGTCTGATGTCACACATCGAGAAGAGGGAAAGAGCACACCTTTGAAAATGACCATAGAATCTCAGACATGGACAAAGTTGAAAATTGTCAGGTGATTAGCCACTTCTGAGCTCAGTTCTGCCACAGCTAGTTTAAATCCGGCTTGGTTGTGTCTACCTAACACTGCAGGGCAGGGATATTCAATGAAATCTCTCTGCCTTTCACAACAGGTCTGCTAATAATTATTTTTAAGGTCTCACAGTTTGAGAGCCTGTAGAGTCTAAGAAGCGTCTCCTCTGGTTAATGTTTAGTGGCCTGGTGACACAAGGTAAACGCTACCTTCCTTAAATGACTATCAAGAAAAGGGAATCTGCAGCACTATAGGTGAGTGCCTTTGATATAGAGGCACAGCTCCTGTTCATGCAAAGAAATGCAATCCCTTTTTCCTTAATTTAAGGTTAGGTACTGCAAGTGCTAATTTAAGGAAAGGTACGTGAGAAGGGGAATCTACACAGAGCTGTGGGAATACACTTCCCACCATTACTATCACAACCTTCTCACAAAGGCTTTCCAGAAATAGTTAACACCATCTATTTTTATTACCAACTGCAATGAAGCTAATAGCTTGCATTAGGGTCATTTTGATTGCGGTTGGAAGACCTAAACTCTGCGATATTCAGGCTGCAGTATCTGCTAGAACAGCTTTTTCACACTCTGTGCCTAATTCTCTATTGCAATTAAACTTCACTTTACCCCAATAATGGGCCTTCAACTGGGAATACAGCAATTCATATCTCTTTGCACAGTGCAAAGTAAAGGAAGATTTCTGTGAATAAGAATCTGCTCATGTACAGCCTAACTAAACACAACTGAAAAAGAAAGCAGTCAACTCTTGAAACAAGTGGTTATTCACTGTCCTTTGCCTAAGGTATTTGTGGGCTTTTGGGGGTGGGGTAGGGTTTTGGGTTTTTTTTAACTGAAGAGCAGAAAAGGATGATGTCAGTAGCTTTTATCCCTGTTTTTTGTTTATTTTTAGAAGCCGTCCAACAAATAACCATGACCTAAATTCTGCAAGACAGAAGTGCACACAAGCACGTTGTTAAATATTGGAATCTATTTGAGTTCAGACAATTTCAGCAGAACTGTACACATACATCTTCTTTAAAAGCAGAGCATAAAAAACTAATTCACCAATACAGTGAAAATGAACAGTAAGGTCTAATATTTAAGACAGATAGTGAAGTCAACCTTTTAACTTCTTTGTCTTCATACAGGGATAATGTGCATATAGCATTAAAATTCAGACATAAATCTGTCAAAGGCAAAACCCAGCACTTTTAAGTGAGCATCAGTTTTATACTGTTATTAAAGTGAAGCTGGAATCTGGATGGAACAAGTTTCAAACTGGGCATGTGCGGACCCTGCTGTCTCCTGTATTTAAATGGAAGCTGCTGCTGCTGCCCTTTGCTAAGCCGAAGATGGAGTGAAGCAATCTGAAGCTCTAGGGAGAAACTCTGCACTGCATCTCACATTATTCCAGAGAATCTAACAATCTCCTTTACACACACACACACAAAAAGGTAAATCAGCTGACATAAATTCAGAGGTGAGCTTTTCTTTCTTTGTTTTTGCTTAGATTTTGTTCACCTGAATAATCAGCCCATTCAAAGGGGGATCTCTTGTCCCTCTGAGGATCCCGACGGCACCAAAACTGTGGAGTCCTTCAATGTATGGAATGACTCAGAAGCCAATGCCTACACACTGATGGACCTGCCTCTTAGAGCCCCAACAGTAAGTGTTTTCTGTCACTAAAAGCTGTAGCAAGTAGTTCTGCTGGCAAAGCTGGCATTTATAGAACTGTAAATGGACATTTAAGGTGCATGTACACATTTAATGCTGTAATGCAATAATGAACAACATCATTAAAACTTTAAAATCTTCTTTTTATGCCTTTATTTACTGCAGAAAGGACTGTAGTAGCAGTGTTTTTCAGCAGTTACATGGGCAGAAGACAGGGAGGAATGTCGAATGGCAAAGTACACCAAATATGTTGCAAACTATCAAAACAACATGTTCTTGTGCATTAAACAGCTGTTTAGCAGTTCAAACGCAATGCACTCCTGTTATTATTGAAGATGGAAATCCCTGTCTTTTCTGTAATAGTCCGTAAGTGCAGTGAAGCACTCATGTAAATGTTAAAGAGTTGTTATTTGCAGTTACCCAAGAGGTTTTCCCAGGTAAGTTCTATCAAAGCTCTTTCTCAGTTGTTAAATACTAAACAGAAAGAAAATATCCTTAGAAGTGTGAAGATGAAAATGTGTTGTGATGACACTTCAGAATGGAATTTCTTTGGGCTCGCTAAATATATTTTCCATCCCACCCCACAAGCCCGAACCAAAGGAGTTCAGAAGTCCTCCTCCTGGTTGTGTATCTCAGTATACTATTAGGACTACAAAGTTTCATTCACCTGCTGTTTATACAAAAGTCTGTTTAAAAGTAAAGAATAAAAAAATGACCCAAGCTAATTTTTAAAGTTTTTAAAATCTGAAATTCAAGTTAAAATCTTGATGTGGTGGTATCAGGTATTTTGGCATGGCCCACATAACACAGTGGATACTTAAAAATTATGTGCAAGTTTCAAACACTCCAAAAGCTTTTATGCATATAGGATGTTGGATTGGGTGTTTCAGTTTGATCCTAATTTATAATGAAGGGCCAGTAAATATTTTATTATTTGCATAGTAAAAATGCAGTCTATTTATTTTGTTAATAAAACCTGGATGTGTGCAGTGTATTACAGAAAAATAAACAGAGAAGTGTCCTGAGCCAAGGTGCTTACAAACTAAATTAGATGGATAACATATGAAAGAGGATAGCAGAACATAGCAGGGAGGGAGAAGGGAGAGTGGAGGGCGCGTGGCAAAATGGAAAAGGATTCTGGGGACAGAGTGATTTACGTCAGAAAATTAAAAATGGATTTTGTCCTTACTCTGCTGAAAGAGGTAATTAGCTGTCCATTTCCTCTCCCCAGGTCAAGTGACTGTATTTTCAAACTTTTTCATTTTAATTTGACACAAAGATTGGCTTAAGAGAGTTTCAGGACTGAAAGCAATATGGGCTGCTTATGGTTGAGATTAAATCCAAAAGATAGGATACAAAATCTGCTATCCAAATTGCTCAACAGGACAAACACCATCTATAGAAAGCCCTGCTGTCTACTGGAAAGAAAGCTTAGGAGTTGGCACCACCCTGCTGAAACCATAATTGAGGTGGGATTACACTCCTCTTTGTGCTGCCTGTCATCAGAGAGCAGGTGCCTATAGAGGCAAGCTCAGAAATCAGAGCAAGCGACTGTGAAGAAAAGTAAGTACTATCAGTTGTTGGAGGCCTCTCGTAGGCAGGCAGTACAAACACTGCACCTACAAACCCTAGGAAATTACAGTATTTCTGTTCTGACAGTTTTTCTAAACTATATGATTTGTTGTCATGTAAAAGACCTAACACTACCATTGGCTGTATAAGTCATACTGTGTAAATAAGCGGCTTTGTTACCTGTATTTGAAGGAAAAATAAGAACAAAGAAACCTGATACGTTGCCAAAGTCAATGTGGGACTGCCAAAACTTGCAACGTTTTGGAACTGGGCTCTATTCCATTAAAACATTCATTCTGCAAAACCAACGCCTACAGTTTGAAGCCAGATGAATTCATAAAAGCAACGACATCGCAGTCCCTATTTCCCTTTCCTTGTCTTGTTTTACATGAAATTAGATACAATCCATCTCATGTCCAGGCAGAAGTAGCTGAAAAATGTCCTTGTCCTAGTCTTTTCTGTTCCTGGCTTTTGAAACAATGATGTCACACAAATAAATCAATTAATCAGAACTAGCATTGAAATATGTTCAAATCCCCAAATGACCTTATAAGGATTTCTTCTTTCCCTATAAGTATAAACTAAACCTTGCTTTATACTCTTGCCATTGGAAGAATGTGAGCAGTGGGCTATATCAAACATAATTTATACTCAGTACAAATATTTACATGCATGGCCTTGCTCCTACCATCATCACTGTTAGCTTTAGTAGGACTTCAGTAACCAGCATCTCCACGTGAACAGTAATTAAGTAATATGATTTTTTTCTTACTCTGAAAACAGGTATTTTTTCCCCCAATAATAGCTGAACTGTATTCTTTGCATGTTGTGCTTTTTTCACTTATACACAAATATTTTTCTTATGGTATGGGTGGGGGGTGGACTTTCAAAACCAGTATGTCTTCTAGTAGAAGTTATTCAGAGGTGAGCTGGTTTGGTTGGTTTGGGTTTTTTTTTTTTAATCAGTTATGAAATAACTATTTAGAAAACCTTCTTTTTAGGAAAATGTGCATAATAAACAGATTCCCAAGACACAATCGATGCAGGCATCAAATATTCCTGGGTTTTATATCTGATCTAGACTTCCTTCTAACATGGGAAAATCACCTAGGAATCGTGGTTTTGTCCTGAACTGCAAATGAATTCCTTTATCCTTTTAACTCTTAGAACAGTGTCTCGGAGGGTCTTGACAAACTTCATGGTGAAATACAAGTTCTACGCTACACTGATGTTCTCTGTGGCTGATTCATTTTTACCCCTTTTCTGCTTGCACCAAGCTTTAGCAGAAGGGACTGTGCACTGCTCTCTTCCAGAAGCAGCAGGCTGGCTCCTCAGATTGGCCCTCCAGGAAGAATTCTGCCTCCCTTGTAACCAGCTGTGGCAGCAGGCCATAAGTATAGAATAACGAGGCTCCATGTTGTCCTGCAGCCTCCACAGACAAGGCCAGAACAGCAAAGATTTAGACATATTTATCTATCAAACATTTCATTTTGTCCAAAATCCCCCAAAGCATCTCAAGTTTGTAAGTCTCTGTCAAGTTTACTGAATGATAACTAATAACAGTCAGTTCTGGTTTAGCTGTTTTGTTGTAGGCAGTAGACAACCATTACTTTAGGGAGAAAAATGAGTATTTTAAGAAGGCAGACTGCATTAAACCTAGCTGTTTCCCTCTATTCGAGTGTTTCCACAAGAACACACTTAAACCTGCTGGAAGGAAATACGCTAACATAGAGCAACTTCATAACTTCTTGCCACTGACTCTATTGAGACAAATGACAGAGTAGGATTTAGAAAAGGATTACACCTATATATGGAGGATAAAAATATCCTCCACTAAGATTATCTTTTCAAAGGGATAATAACCCTGTTTTAGGGTGCAAACCAACTGCTAAGCCTCTATACTGAAAATTAAATTCCTACATCACTGTTCATTATGTGTGTTTTGCAGCTCTGTGAAACACCCAGTCATGGCTAAAGGCAAGCTAATGTTTTGTCAGGAATGCTGGTCTGAATCAGTGTGGCACTTCCCAAGTTCCTTGCCGCACCAAAATAATCCGATTCTGCAAAACTATAGTGTAAATAAATAATAGATAATAAATGACATGCTTATCAGAGGTTAAAAACACAAATTCTTTCACACTTCTAGAAAAAGGCCAGTTTTCATATACACCCAAACAATATTATGAAACCTGCTTTTAAGGTTGACTAAGATGCTGTCCTTGGCTAGTGATACATTGTCCACTGACCCTCAGTACTTAGGGTGAAGAAGTTTTGTTACGTTACAGTTACTACCTTGATGTCCTCCACAGCTTCCATGACCATTTTGTTTGCTTGCTTGAGAAATGTGCAATATTTATATTGACTCACTGTCAGGAAGTTGGTGCTTCCCAAAGAATTCTTTCCTACAGAATTAACACCGATCTAAGCCACCCACAGCACAGTTGGTCTGTGGGTGTACTGGCACCCAGTGGTCCAGAGTCTCAGGTGCAAGTATCTTTTACTTGACTCAAGAAAGCTGTAGTCCATTGTCTACCTACTGGAAAATGTCCAACCTCTTAGCTTCCAGTTCAGATTTTTGTGCATTTGGTGATGTTTTGAACCATTAAATAAACTGTGTTGTCGTATACTTGGAAGAGAAATAAGTGCTGGTTTTGCCTGTTCATTTTTCTTATCTTCATTATGAGGTGTTTTTAGAAAGAAGGCTGAACAGAAAAACATGGAAGGCAACAATGCTATGTATTATCAATGCAATTGAAATAGTTGTTAAGAGTATTCTCAAAGGAGAATTGCTACAGTGGGGATTGCAACAGTGGGATTTTTATTCTCCGCTGCCAACGAAGTACTCATACCGTGGGGTGACAACAGAAGACAGAGAGTAAACAAGGCTAATCTGCTGGAGAAACTGAATAGAGAAAAGCTTTGGGAATTGTCTGATTTCTTGATTATCCTGCTGACCTGATTTCTTCAAGCACCATCTTTTTCTCCCTGTCCTTTCTTTTGACGTACAATTCCCATAGAAGATCTAAAGCTGAACTTGATACAGGCATGCGTTTTCATCTTCTAGTAAGGAAGTTGTATGTATGCAACTTAGTGATGAATTTGAAGTGCTTAGGCGTGATCTAATGCCTTGTTGGTCAACCAGTACCTTTCTTTGATTCAAAGAAACTTTGAATCAGATCTGTATTTCCAATAAAAGCAGTGAAATTACTTTTTTTAATAATTTAATTTTTTCCTCTTAGAGAACAGCCAGAGTTGGACCCTGTGATAAAAATCCCAGGCCTACAGGAAGTCCACAATAAAATGTGAATTTAGTCCTCTTTGCCACAGAGCGTTTTTTTTTTAACCATATATTTAGTATTATTTATGTCCTACCACTGCTCCAGTATAAATATTATTCCTTTATTTTTCATACTTGACATTTTTATTGACTCTGAACTTGTTTCATTCCTGAATAAGTCATTTTAAAGTCTTCTACTGTCCCTTAAATAACCTTTCCTCTCTTGTGATTTCTCTGTGTATTTATATTTGTCTTTCAAATTTTTCCTTGTCTTTAGTCCTCCACAAATTTAATTCAAATTAAAGCCATTTTAATCTGTTCTTTGTAGCCAATACAAGCTCCTTTAGTTGCTTCATTTCTGTTACCTTGATCCAGTCCTGATTAAATGGATAGCTACAGGGAAAAACATCAGAAATCTCCATTCCATTAATAATCATCATTAACTCTCTGTAGAACAGCAGTTAAAAACTGTTCTAGCCACAAGGCTAAGGAGAAAAAACAAACAAACAAAACCAAAGCAAAGAGAACACCTAATCTCATTTATTTTAAACAATTTTATCTCAGACTCTCCCTCTCCACTTGCTACTAGTATGGGATTTTTTTCTTTTTTATTTTACTGGCAGTGTGTTAAGCACAGCAATTTCTACTTAGGCAAGATGCCTATTGATGTTGATGATGTGACGCCAACTTACACTTTGCTGCAGGAACCTGAACAATAAATGCCATGATACTGTCATTCAGTTAGTGTATCAACCTTAACATTTTGCTCCAATTACAATAACAGCCAGAGCTACATTTTGCCTCTCTAAGATCAGAGTATTTGTCCAGCATTTCATTGCTGCTAATGTAGAAACCCAGGGAGCGCGCTCTAGTTGTTGAGGATTGCTGCAGGCAGATCTTCAGCACACAAGCAAAGACAATCTCTTCCAGAATTCCAGACACTCCTGGGGTTCACCTCTTGCTGCTGGCACATTGGTTTTAAATACACACTGTCTCTAATAACTTCAGTCCAATCTCACAGATGTATTCAGAAGTAATGTCTGCCTCTGTTGTCTGAAAATACCCATTTCCTTTGATAACTGGGGTGTTGTCAAAGGCATTTCTGAGTTGCACTCTAACAGTGAATGCCAACTACTAACACAACTGTAGCATAAAGGTAAACTTCATATCTACCTCTGTGCACTTTCCTCCTTTCCTACCAGCAACCTTCCATTTCCTGGGAAGGAATGACTGCATATGAGAACTGTACCACCACCTGCCAGTACTTGTGATTGTAAAGAACATATCCAGTCTCATAGCACTATTTAACCTTGGTACAGGCACAGACCTTGGTACAGGCAATGCCCTTGTCCTGGATCCTAGGCCACAGCCAAGCTGGCAATATTCACAGTAGGCAGGCTACAAACATTTAAAAAAATTTCTTGGGCTTTTCTCAGCCCTGGTGTGATTCTTGTAGCTCAGTAGCTGAGGAATGCCAGGCTTGAGCTACAAGCAGTAGTCATGACATGCCATTCCAGAGTGCCAGCCTTGATGAGAAAAGCCTGGTCACAAAGAAGAGACAGGATCTGTCCATGCAGATGAATGAGGACGGGGCTCGGTATTTTTCATGACTCCATTAGCTGGTTGGAGCTGATGCCAAGACATGTTTAGGACAGTGGCAGTTGCACAGAGGTGAGTTTAAGTCTCCTTGCCTGACCTTATATCAAAAGGCAGCAGAACAGACACGGTTTGGACAGCTGTTCTTCTCTTCAATCTCTATCAGGTCATCCTGCTTCCTGGGTGCAGCCTTATTGTTATCTTTGTTACTAATCTGGGGTCACTTGGCCTAAAATGTGTTTGTGGTTCCTGATACATAACTAAAAAATGTTTTAAAATTATTATTTAAAATGCTGTAGTCTTCAGACTTGGCTACTGAATTTTGCTATGAGTTGTTAGATGATTAAGACACAAATGCTTTCAGCAAGTGCTTTATCACATACTTCACAGAGAGCAAAATACCTTCATACAGTGCAGAGTGAAAACAGCACTGGTATGGAAAGCAGGCATAAGGAACAAAGGATTTGTCGTTTAGTTTTTCTGAACCTTAATTTAGTTTCCAAAAAACTCTTGTTAAATGCTGCCAGGCATTTGGTAACGAAGTCTTGAGGGCAGCTAGCAATTCAGTGTTATTCAGTGGGAGAAATGAAACAGCCATACTACTCAAGGAATAAATGTATGTTTATCCCTAGAAGATCATTTCTACTTAGCTAGAGAAGTCTAGCCAGTGACATCAGAGGATAACAGAAATCATACTTCACAGGTACAGAAACTTTCCTGAAATGAAAACTACAGAAAACTTACTCGTTGTTAAGTACTGCATTACTTGATGCCAGATGCAATGAAAAGGTCCCTGCCTATCTCTCTCTTTCTCCTTGATATACTTATCTTTCTTCTGAGAACAGATTGCTGTTCTTCATCAAAATTCTAAATCAACAGTAAACATATAAACCTCCCTTTGACCTTTGCACTGCTGATGGCATACTTATCCCCTGAAGATGATCAACAGTAAATGTAATTTGAAAGCAATTAGCTTATTCTGACTTTTTTTTGCTGGCTGTCTTTTTGTATTCTTGACCATTTCCTCTTCTAGAGAAGCACATGCCAGCTTATTCAGTAAAGTCTGACAATATACCTATGACCTCTTGTTTACTCCACAGAAGATGACAGCGCAAGATGTTCCTCGTGCCTTTCCTACAGTGGATGTCCCAGACCATGCCCATTATACAATTGGAGTAGTCATTCTTATAGTGGGGATCACAGGAACTCTGGGTAATTTCCTGGTCATCTATGCTTTCTGCAGGTATCCTTCTTTTAGATGTTTTTTTAAACACTCAAATTTATGAACTTTAACAGTATCTTGGCTGTGCTCTGCAAATCCAGTGCAGGCATACCATCAGACTACTATGCAGACATAGTAAAATGCACCAAGAGACATTGCTGTAGGAAAAAAAGTGGCAACCTGCCATTTCCCTCTGACTTCCTCCCATTAACCAGAGCCATAGCAAAATTGTTAGCAAAATTGCAAAGAATCACCCAGATATGCCATGCAACAGAAAAGCAGCCAAAGCAGAAACCTTCCAGTGAATTTTTTTCTACTGGCTAAACTGTGTCTGCACTGGAATTATGGGATGTTTAGCACCTGTCTCCCACATATCTTCTCTATTTTAGATGTTTCCTTTCTCCTGCTGCTTACTACTCAGTTTCCTTCCCCCACTCTGTTCCTTACTGGCCATGTCTCGTTTTCACATTTTCTAACACTTGGCTTGTTTCCTTTTAACTAAGGCCACATTCCAACTTTTATATCTGAAGGAAATTGGATCTCTGACAATAACGTGTTATTTTCACCATTCCTGTTTACTCATCCTGTTTCTGCTTTGTCACACTGGGGCAGAGCATTGGCATAATGTCCAGGCCAGTGAGCTTCTACTTCATGATTGGTCTTTAGGCACTAATGTAATAAACCAAAGTAATAGCAATTATATGATAATTTGTCTGTATTAACTTAAATCACTGGAGTGTGGGCAGAAGTAGTCTGGGTCTCGAGCCTATATTTATGTGGTGCATTGAACAGTAGGTTTCAGCGTGTACATTTGGAATAGACACCAACTCTTCGATGTGGATGACATGGCCTTAAGAACAGAAAAGGTGTTGGCATGCAGACCAGATATGAGGATGAAGTACATGAGCCAGCTTAGCTCTTTGGTTGGTCCCATACAGAAAATCCAGTCATGGCAGTTGCAGTTTCACTGGAGGACACAGCTTGTCTTCGTTTGAATATGTTATGATGACAGAAAGGGATACTGATAGCAAAGTAACAAGTACAACAAGAGAACACATCAGATGCCTACAAAGCAGTCTCAAGTAATGGCAAACTGTAAGATCGCCAGCTGCCTGAAACAGAAATATGTTCAGTAACTTTGCAGACTACTGAACAAATAACAAGCAGCTCATAAGCATCTACTAATAATATCTCCTTGCTCCTAAACTGACAGATAGGGGACAGTAGTCCCAGTGATTGATTCTGGATCAGTGCAAAGAACCCATCATTTATTTTGGTATCTTTCAATTGTGTCTAAGACTGAAAATTTGAGAAAGGAGCTAAAAAGTTACACTGAGCCCCAAACTGAGGAGCTCTCAGTTGAGCTTTTATGTATACCCTTTAAATCACTATAATATTATGAATAATATATACAGGCAGGATACACTGAAGGCTGGCTATTGCTCTCTTTAAAGTCAGTGTCTGGGCCAGTGAAATGAGTGTCATAGAGAAGAATTGATGTAAACCAAAATGATTGATATGGTACATAGTGAGTTTGTTTAATCCCTGTGTTTGGAAGTCACTGTTGATCTTATCAAAAGTGGAAAATGCGCTCCCTTCCCCTTGTTTAACATGATGCAGATCCAGAAATCCATAGAGTACATCAACTTTAATTTCCTGTTCATCGTGCACATGCAGTGCAGTGGGTCAGAATATTTAAAGAAAGAACAATATGATTTATCCCCATCACTGAGCTGGTTATCAAAACAAATCCTGTAAAGTGCACAGGACTATAAGGGTGTAAAACTGAGCATTGCTTATGTTCTGTCATGAGGGAAATGAGAAGCACTCTGCTGTAGCTTGCTATATAGTGTGCCTTGGTATTTGTGAAGCTGCCAAGGCTTACAGGAAAGAGTAAGATCATAATTAACAGTGCAGCAATGTTTAGCAACATTCCTTCTGATCTCTGTAGGAGTAGGAGCCTTCAGACTCCAGCCAACATATTCATCATCAATCTAGCTATTAGTGACTTCCTGATGTCCATTACGCAGTCTCCAGTTTTTTTCACCAACAGCCTCCACAAACGCTGGATTTTTGGTGAGAAAGGTTTGTATATATTCTTTCTAAGATATCACTAAGTATGTTCTTGCCATAGTGGAAGTTAATCTACTATTTCCTTACCCTGGGGTACACTTGCCATGTTGAGAACATTTCTCAACATTGTTTCAATGTTGACACAAATGTTCCTTTGAACATTTTTGTCTGTGTGCAATAATACATTCCCACCACAGAGAGGAAAACTACATACATGAGATAGATACAAAGGCAACATTGGCAACCTAAGGAACAGGACTAGTCTTTTTGACAGCATTCTTCCCCAATCATCTCATAACTTAGTTACTGACAGAGTCTTATGACAAAGAAGTACCACCCCTCAACAGACCGGCTTAAAAGCTCTTCTAAATAACCTGCTCTGGGACTTGCACCTGGCAAAGTGAGGTGAGAAGGCCTGGCAAAAGTGAGTTTTCACAACAGAAATATTAACTGAATGCTTCCTGTACAGTAAGAAAATGTGGAATGAAGGTGCTTTCATTCGTCCTATATAATTTAGTAAAAGGAAGGCTAGTCTTTGCCTCTTGAACAGGTATTGACAGAGAGGAAGGTCAGAGAACTAATGTTGCTTTTTCGTCTCTGATGACTAAAAGCACAGTTTTAGTTCCATGAAATGTTCAATTGCATACATGTTAAAATAAAAACAAAGCAAACCCCTGCTTTAAATCATTAGGTTGTTTGAATAATGAAAATAACTCAGTAATATATTCATAGTCTGCATATTTACTTCAGTTACGCTGCCCTTGAGATACAAATGGTTCCGTGATAGCAAAGTAGCTATAACCCATTGTTAAGAAAAACAGCTGTTTCTACAGGAACTGCACTAAAAATGGAGTTAAACAAGATATTAATGGACTGCTGAAATGATCCCACTAGAAACACCAGAAATCAATGAGTGAAAATACGCTAAGTATCACTGTCTCCAGCAATTCAAGCAAACAAAATCTTTGAAGTTTATCTCCATGGATAATGTAATTAGCAAGACAGACAGCAGCTTTGAAATAGCATTACAACTGCAGGAAAACTGAAGTTCCATTGCTTTACAAATTCCAGAAGACATTAGTTCACAAGAAACACAGACATGAACTCTCCCAGAAATTAATTAGCATGGGTAGATTAATTTCACTGCTACTTCTGTCATCTTCATTGAAAGGCTGTGAGCTGTATGCCTTCTGCGGAGCTCTGTTTGGCATTACGTCTATGATCACTTTGATGGTGATTGCCTTGGACAGATATTTTGTCATCACAAAACCTCTGGCTTCTGTTGGAGTGACATCTAAGAAGAAGGCCCTAATAATCCTGGTAGGAGTCTGGCTGTACTCTTTGGCTTGGAGCCTCCCGCCCTTCTTTGGATGGAGTAAGTGAAAGAGAATAAAAGTTTTTTTCCCCTCATAGCATTGGATTAAAGACCACTTAGAGGTATAGAACAGGGTTGAACTGATGGGGTTGCATGATAGGCTTGAATAAATGAATTTGAAGAAAACTGATAAAATACGTATTGAAACTGAAGATCTCTAATCAAAAGAAAAAAAATCCAGTGTGTATTACAGTATATTATATGACACTGGCACTTTTCCTTAAAGTTGTTACTTACTGAATAAATAACAGTAGATAAAATCAAAGCCAAAATATGAAGGATGCACCTGCCTATTACCCCATACCTACTTCTGTTGAACCAAATTCAACAATATAAAAGTGAAATAAATGTATTTGTGGTTTTTCTGATGACTTTTTCCTCCCCAAGGTGCTGTGTAAGATAGTAGCGTCAATCTAAATTTCTTTATTCACATAAAAGAGGAATACAGTCTGAGTATTTTGTGCAAGTACATCTTCAGTAAGTCTTGACTGTGTTCTAGATGGGCAAGTTGTACTAGGTGTTGGTCACATTCTCCATTCAGCCATCAGTATCTTCACTAAGGCTTCCAATAACAATGGCATTTAGTAATAACTAACTAATTTGCTTTTGTAAATGTGAATTTTACGCCTGGAAATTGGAACACACATACAGCATCTTGATCCTTGCAACTTGTAACAAAAAGAGTTTCTGTTATTCTTCCTCATTTGAATCCGCCTCACTACCATTAGTTTCCTATGAGTCACCAGTTTCAGTCAGTAAGTTACAATGAACTCATCATTCAAAACCCAGCCCATTACTGTGCTCTCTAATTCCAGAATGTCAGCTCAGCTGAGGTAAGAACATAACAAGGTTTGATTTTCCCAAAGGATGCTGCAACCAACTCAGTTACTGAGTAGAATTTCAGCAGATTTTTGTTATTGTCTTGTTATTGTCATTCTGGTCCTCCATAAACATGAAGCATGTTTAAGCAGGCAAACTGCAATACTGGGAGAAGCAGCCTTTAGTTGAATGAGAAGCTGTTAGAACAACAAAATGACAATATAGTCTTAGATTCTAGATTCTTAACTGGAAAAGGTGGAATAATTCCTTGAAGGGTGTTGTTATCTTGTAATTAGATTCTAATAGTACCCACAGTACTAACTCTCATATGGTAATTAGATACATCTGAGCACATCTGGTGCAATATTTTTAAGAGTTCAACAGAAAATATCACTGTAAACAGTGAAAATTAAAATGCAAAGGTAAAAAGACATTGCTGTAGACAATTTCTTTACTTAACAGTTTGACACAGTTCCTTTAAGAAGATTATATTTTATTTCAGGCAGAATATTATGTATGTACTATTTTTTTTTACTTGTACTCAACTTCACAACAAAATTAATTTGATCTGCACAATAAATCTTTCTCCTTTGCACAGTAAATTTCCCTTATCTGCACAAGCTTAAAAAAGTGGTAGCTATAGCAATCAGTTTCATTTCACTCCTTGGGAAGACAGCAATTTGACAAGAAATGGAGACATTTAAAAACAATACAGGTCTGATCCAAGACCCACCGAAGTATTTGGAAAGATGCCCTTTGACTATGCTGAGCTTTAAACAATATTCAAGAACTGAAACGAAATTATTTGGTTTTCTGATCTGAAGCCTTAGACTGCTAAACATAAATACAATAGGGCAACAGAGTAAAAGAAAATGAAAAGAGGTGCTTTAAGTGAAGAATCATGTATCCTTTTAAACTCTTTTTCCCTTTAAGAGAATAGGACTACATCCCATGTTATTCTGAGTATCTTTCTCTAACTTCTGCACTCAGAATAAGAATCATTTCATGGTTTATGCCTTCTCCCATCTTTCTTTCTAGGTGCTTATGTTCCCGAGGGTCTGCTGACTTCTTGTTCCTGGGACTACATGACTTTCACACCATCAGTCCGTGCCTACACAATGCTGCTTTTCTGCTTCGTCTTCTTCATTCCTTTGATTGCTATCATATACAGCTATGTCTTTATATTTGAGGCTATCAAGAAGGCCAACAAGTAAGTAGCCAACAGTCTTAAGTTTTTACCCTTCTGTTTAAGTGACTGCTTATTTTCTTAAAACAAACAGAAGAAAATAGGGAATTTTTTCACTTTTAATTTGTATGCACGACTGAGACGGGAAACCAAACAAGAATTCTGTCAATAGTCAACATGGTAAGAAGTATGATCCTTAGAAGGACCATTCCTGAATTTAAGCCAGAGCTGTTCAGTATATTGTCTAATGATGTGGCAAAGGGTATGGGTAGCAGCAATAGAAATCTGAAGGATGAGAAAGGACTACAGAAATTAACCATCCAAAAGAAATACTAAAGGGACATCAGAGACAGCTAATAACAGTGTATCAACAACTATTCCATAGAAAAATAAATAGAATTGAACTACAAATTCTGTGTTTGAAAAAGGGTGAAAAAGAGGCAAAACATTTAATCACAGGTCTCTGAAACAAAAACTATTGTTGTAAATGGAAAGGCCAATGTCTGCCACTACATTTGTAATCTCTAGATATCTGTCCTGTAGATACCAGCATATCTAGTCACACAGCTCAGAAGTACAGAGTGAGAGTGAGCCACTTGCTCACTTCTCCCCCCTCCCAGTGGGATGGGGAGGAGAATTAGGAAAAAAAAGTAAAAATCATGGGTTGAGATAAGAACAGTTTAATAACTAAAATATAAAAGAAATAAAATATAAAAATATCAATAAAATACAAATATAATAATGATTATAATAATTGTAATTAAAAAGAATATAACAAAAAGAGAGAAATTAGACCCAAGAAAAGACAAGTGATGCACAATGCAATTGCTCACCACCCACTGACCAACACCCGAGCAGCGATTTGCCCCTCCCAGGCAGCTCGCCTCAGTTTATATACTGAGCATGACGTTCTATGGTACGGAATATCCCTTTGGCTAGTTCGGGTCAGCTGTCCTGGCCATGCTGCCTCCCAGCTTCTTGTACACCTCCTCGCTGGCACAGTATGGGAAACTGAACAATCCTTCACTTAGGATAAGCGCTACTTAGCAACAGCTAAAACATCAGTGTGTTATCAACATTATTCTCACACTACATCCAAAACACACTGTACCAGTTACTAGGAAGGTAATTAACTCTATCCCAGCTGAAAGCAGGACAGGTAGCAAAATCGGACCTAGGGAAGCAACAACTTCTCTAACTATATTTAATATAGCATTGTTCAATTGGCTTCAATACCTGATTTATGTTGAAATTCTTCTGGCACATGACTGTTTTCTTCACCGAAGCAGACGTGAATTTTACCATTGATTAGTGCAACAAAAGTGCATTGAATTGTGAAGGACCAATTACATACATACATTAACACACACTAAAAATACATGACTTTCAGCATAAACTAGCATAAGAGTAATTGTTGCCCCATTTTATGAAGCTATTTGTTCAATTCCCTACCTCCTTTTTTTGCTGTTCTATGCTTATTTCCCCTAGGTCTGTTCAGACATTTGGATGCAAACATGGAAATAAAGAGTTCCAGAAACAGTATCAGAGGATGAAAAATGAGTGGAAGATGGCCAAAATTGCACTGATTGTCATCTTGCTTTATGTCATTTCCTGGTCACCATACTCTGTTGTTGCTCTGGTAGCTTTTGCTGGGTAATTATGAATGTATCAGCAAAGGAATTTTCAGTGAAAGCAAAAGGTGTGAAATTGTAAAAGACAGATGAAAGTCAAAGCTACTTGTCAAATGTAATGCCTGAATTGCATCCAAAACATTCACATATTAAGGAGTGACTTTTAACAAATGAGGCACATGCTGACTGTGATTTTTTCTTTGTTTGACTTAAAAAAAAAAAAGTTAGGGAAAAAAAAAGGAAAAAAAAGAAAAAGAAAAAAAAGAAACCAGCAAGGTTATTACTGGCAATATAACATTACTGTGCTGGTGATTTCTGAATGCAGATTCTCTATGCTAGGATATTTGAACTATCTGAACTTCATTTAGCACCAAAATGCTAAATAAGGGGCCCCAAAGATCCACCCAGGGGCTGATTCTCTTTCCTTTCTCCACTTCTTTTACTTACAAAAGTCTATTCATTTTCTTGTGTTACATCAAGCTGCTGAAATTCTTTACATGTATAAGCATACGTACTTGCATTGGGGAGCTTTTTGATGCTGGATCGTACATATAAATCATCTAAGCATGTTCTTAATCTATTTAATTGTCAGCATACAGTAATTTCAACAAAAGCATGATACTATTAATACAGTATCTGTACATAGCTTGACACCAGACTATAGTGGATACAATCCAGGAGTAAGTAACAGATTGGGAGTTCAGATGCCTTGGCTCTATGTAGATATTTCTCCCATGTTAACATGTGAATTTGCCTGTGCTTCAGTTTAGCCTTTGTAAAATGGGTGTGACTATCTGCTTTAGAAAGCCTTGTCAGCTGCAAATGCTCAAGTGGAAGACTCCTATGACAGTACAAAATACTTCTATTTGTATTTTTCAAGTCAGAAATAAAAAGTAGGTTTTCCTGGAATTGACAAACAGGATAAATTTACTTATGATGGAGCATTTTGGGAGGCAGGGGTGATTTTTGTTACACACTTATGGAAGAGGCCACTGCAGGGCAGCTTCTCAAACATAGCTTAGGAAGGCAGCTTCCTAAACATAGCATTTCTCAAATTTTACACTGAAGAAGAAAAAATGCTAGGAGAAGAGGATTCTCTCCCTTTGTATCCAGAGGGGCAATTCCAAGCAGCAGCAAACATTTCCTCCATGAAGGTAAACACACTCCTCACTCAGAAACATGAATCCTTAGGATGCGTCCCAGTGTCCCATTTCCTATCACAGGGCGACTTAGGTGCTGGGCACCCACCACTGGAGATATATGACCAGCTAGAGACAGAGGAAGAGCAAGAAGACGAAGAAATGCAGCACACCTACGTTGCAGCACTACTTGGTCTAAGATACCTCAAAACAAAAATTAGGAGATGCTTTAAGCTAACCATTTTAGCTATGTAGAACCGTCAGGCTGTCCCGTATAACTCAGCACCTATCTTAGGATGATCAAGTGCCTGCTGAACTTGACTTCTAGCCCGTGTCTCACACTGACAAAAATCTGAACAAATGTACACTTTTATAACTCTACAGTATGTGACAAATGAGCATCTGCAAATTTTGCTCACAAAGACATCTGGTGAGCAACACAGCTTCATTCAGCTTTTTTTTCCATTTCTAAACTATGCCTTTTAGGCAATCCTTCTGGGATTTTTCAGAGATTAATAGACCAAGCCTGGAGGCCTTCTGTGGACTTTTATTACAACAAACTCAGATAAAATCACTGCATGCCACATATGGGAGGCAGACAGGGAGTCTGTGGCTATAGTCTTGGACTAAAGACAACTCATCTGACAGAGTAACAACACACACAAATGAAGGAAGAACCTTAATTCCTTTAGAAAATATTTTGGATGGGGAATACTGAACGAGGTCACAGCCAGGCTCGCTAATATTGTTGGTCTACAGGTTGTATTTTCTGGGAATGGTTAGCTTAAACAAAAGCCTTTGTCACTGTTGGTTTCTGTTAGCTGAACTCTCCATTAGTCTTACCAAAGCACTATCTCTCTCATCTCAGAGTCAAAAACTCCATTCCAGCAAGGTCATACTGTTGTGTGTTCTCCAGAATCTGTAAAGAATTACACCTCTAACCAATGCTTTAAAAGTATGATCAGGAGAAACCATGTTAAAAATTGTCTCTTTTCAGAGAAAAGCTTTAAATTAGAGGTGAAATGGCATCTCAACATTCAGGCAGCTGACAAAATGATTCCTGTATTATCATTGGCAAACCATTTCCACCTTATCACAGAGCATAAATATTCCCATAGTATGATGAAAAATTTCATCGTGAAGATGAGCTGCCACCTACTTATGCAATCTTTGTTGTTTGTGTGCAGCACTCATATGAGACCTTCTTCTGAGAGAGGATTGAGAGGAAAACCTGTTTTCTCCCGTAATATTACAGGAATACATAACTAATTGAAAGATGGAGCTTAGACTGTCTTCTCAGGAAGAAGAGCAGTGATAAAGAAAGGATGTTATCCTTGGGAGGAAAGACTGACTTACTGGGCCATTTCACTTAGAACTCTTTCTACCAATGCAGGAAGAGGTCTTCATAGCCTCTAAGCAGGTCTATGGAGAATCTGCCTGGTAGAAACTGCCTATGAAATGTTATTGTTATTTTGGTCTGAGCTGTTCTATTGACTTTCTTCTGACCAAGACCTTATGCGCTACTTCAAGCTATCTTGAAAAATTAACTGGCTGATAGCAGCATGGCAGATAGACATCAATCATAATTCTTTTGCCCTTTAAAGTCACATCACCCACATATATGCATGGTCAGTAACACATGAGCATAACACATGACACCTGAAAATACTTTCCCTTTACTCTTTAGTTCAGATCAGGCAAAAAATAGTTTGATGAAGTTTGAATAGGAAAATAGATTTATTAGTTATCCTTCCCTATAATGGCTCATTTGCACATCCATTTTGTGACATATTACTCAGCAAGTGTATCTGCTGAGTTTGGAACAGATAGATACTCTGATGAATGCACATTCACTTATTGAAGGCTGACTTTGTCTCTAGGGTAAACAACACGCTAGCAACCACCATCCTGAGTCATAGTAGTGAAGTGCTGCAAAAGAAGCCCCAAGAAAATCATGTTTCTCAGAAATGCAATTAGGCTGGTATTGATCTTTACAGGCAAAGGATGTAAAATTTGTTCTCTCACTGTTTGGGTACAGAACTCCCCCTTTTACTCTCTCTGGAGCACTAATAAAGCATTGTCTTGTCAGTGTTTTTAACTCCATAGACTACATAGAACTCAGTAATAAATATATAATGCATTTGTATTTCTCTAGGTATTCCCAGGTCCTAACACCCTTCATGAACTCCATACCAGCTGTGATTGCCAAAGCGTCTGTCATCCATAACCCCATCATTTATGCCATCACTCACCCCAAATACAGGTAAGTTCACTCTTATAAGCTATGTTTACTATAGCAAAGAAAATCAGACAGTAACTTAGTCACATTCAGGACTAGTACCTGAACTCTGCTTCACCTGCTCATTTAACGTCTGCAAGACAGCCTTGCCCTCCCCAAGAAAACTTCTCAATACCATATATGTGTCAGTGGAATTTGTACTTGGAACAAATTACTATGCAGATAGGAGTTAGAGATGTTTATGGATACTGATCTGTACTTACAGATTACATGATAAAAGACAGAGACCTTCCCACCTCAAAGGAAAGCACCATAAATTTTTTAAGTATCTTCACAAGAGATGCAGACATTTGTCAGTGTTGCAAACAGCAATTTGTTAAATTAACCAGCCCAGTGAGAGATGTAATACAGTGAGTCAATCCACCTCTTCCCTATTTTGTGCATCCTCCCCACACTTCTTCAAGCTTTCATATTTCAGATAGTATTTCTTCTGAGTTGTAACATCTAGGGTCATTACCATATCAAGTTCAGATGCAGGCTGTGAGATCTGACAGACAGCAGCAAAGCCATATATATGCTGTTGTTTCACCCCTTACAAAGACCTACTGGGGAACTGGACAGAGAAGAGGTGGGCATGATCATCTAAGTGGGGAAGGCTGGGAGGAAGAGTAAAGCAAGGCAAAAGAGTTTCCTTACGCTGCATACAAGGAAAGAAATACTGTAATATAACTGCACATTTTGTACAACTCTACAGATAGCCAGCAAACAGATGTGTAAGAGGAAGCTACAATAGCTGCTTAGGGGAAGATTAAAATAATTCATTATGTGGTACTTCTGTGAGGTTCAGTTTAAAGGGACAGAATTTTATTTTTGCCCTGATTAAGCTGAAAGCAGATAAAACATCATTTTAATAGCTCCCTTCAGTTCAAAGAGTTATATTTTAATGCCCTTATCCCTGCCAAGCAATAAATTTGAGTTCTGCAGAACACTGTAAATAAGTGATCTCGCAGGGTGATTGTATACGAGATATTGGATATCTGGAAAACTCTCTTTGTACCCAGTAATTTTCCAGTCCATGCAGCATTAGTTCATCTCTCTGAATAAATGCATTGTTTATGATGACTGAATTTTTGTGCTAACAGAAAAAATCTGACTGGTTCTACCTCTCATCCATTAGAACAGCCATTGCAACATACGTTCCTTGCCTTGGATCCCTGCTGAGAGTCTCTCCTAAAGACTCACGGTCTTTCAGCAGTTATCCCTCCTCCAGACGAGCGACGGTAACCAGCCAGTCTTCTGAGATAAGTGGGCTGCAGAAAGAAAAAAGGCAACTGTCTTCTTTCTCTGACAGTGAATCAGTAAGGGAGACACTTCCTGTACACCATTTTTAATTGCAAACTTATTTATTTTCATATAGAGTCCTTCAAAGTGGTAGATTCTTTAGATGAAATGCATTATGGTGCTTATTACAAGAGCTCCAGAGAAAGCAGAGGGACAAAGTGAAATAAAAAGACGGAAGGCTGAAGTGTAAAAGCAGAATGTAGATCTTTGTATTCTTGATGGTTGGTGACACTGAAGGAAGAGTGGAAAGATGGAACAACAGGCATTTTAGAAATTAAGGGAAGCTCAGAGTCAGAGCACCCTTGAAAGTATGATCATACTTCTAGGATGTACTTCTCTGACCACAGATTTGGAGTCTGGACACACACAAAAAAGGAACTGCTAGTCACTAAATAAGTTCTCTAGTGAAAGCAAGGTTGTAATGAAACAGATAACACTTTGTGAAAGTGAAGTGGGATGTATTTGGAAACGTATTAATCATTAGATTTAGTCAAATCAGTAAATCCATTACAGAATAATTCTCACAGAAGTCCTTAACAGCTTGCTGCTGCCAGTCTAAGCAAAAGCAAATGTTTTGCACAGCAGCTGAAAACAAGGCAAATATTTGGCATCCTAGGCTTTCTCTTGCAATCCAAAGTTACATTACTAAGTAACTAAGTACATTAGTTAGTTCATTGCAATTGTTTTAAATGAAATTTCCAATATATGAAAAGCCATAATTTCCTTGGTGATTATTTTCATAGTCAAGGTAGTAATTGTACCTGATCCAGCCAAGTGCTGAATTCTGAAAGTTGGTTTTAACAGTGACATTTCAATTTCTTTGCACTCTATATTCTTTTGACTTCTAGGTCCAATCAAAACGAAATTCTTCTGGCTAGTAGCTACCACTCAGGTGGAAGGTTTTAAAACTGGTTTTTTATATTACATCTTTTAGATTGTGAATCCTGATTCTTCAAAAAACAACAGACTCCTTCAGTAACACTGTGTGTTCTTGTACTACTACCACTGCTGCGGAAGGGGAACCACACAAACAAATCAACAATTCTTTTTGCTGAGGAAAGCAGCTCTTAATACTCGAAGTAAAACAGTGGAATTGAGAATGAAAATTACCCAAAGTAAAAAATTCCAAGCAATTGGCATGCTTCAGTCTGGGATTTTCTATAAGTCTTGAATAAGTCTGGATCTTGTTCAGAACAATAATGGAGTCAAGATTTTCTGACAAGAATATGTGTTTTCCTTAACTATTTGATTTGACCATACAATACTCTTTTTTATTAGTAAGTAATATCAGTTTAGCTGAAGCACAGAGCAGAAAAAGAGCTCTAGTTTAAAACAAAATTTCTTCAATGCGTGCTGATTATTTTGTGGGTTTTTGCAGCATATGTGTCTCAATTAAGCTGTAAGATTTCTAGACATACACTCACAATGCAAAAAGGCAGTACATATGCTGCTATGTATTTTATGTCAAGGCTGGTCAACAAACTGTAAGCTGATAAATTATCTTTATGCAATTCTTTTGTACTCCTGTGGATGCAAAGATGTTCTGCACCTTGGAAAATCCTAAAGAAACAACTTCCAGTAGTTCTTTGCAATGAAAAGGAGCCAAGCTCCAGAACAGGTGCTCAGAAAATAAAGTTGCTTCTATTTTAAAATTCAACCAAATCGGACTATAAGTGCTAATACACTCTATACATGGAATGGGAAGCACAGTACACATTTTTTAAAATGTTGGGATCAAGAAAATAGCCTAGCCCAACCTCTTGTGTTTCAGCAGGAAAACATATGTTTAGATTGTCCTCCTGGATATTCTGTTAAGCTCTTCTAAAAAATCTTCCATGGAGACATTTCAGTCTGGAGAAAATTCACTCTGTAGACTCATTTTAATCATTGCTTCCCCAATAGTTAGAAAGCTGCTTCTGAAAATACAAGCTTGATTGTCACTGTTCCAAATTAAATTACTTCCTCCCCCCCCTTCTTCTGTGTTCCCCTTATCCTTCCCCACAGAAACAATGATCCTGATCCTCCTTAGAGCAATCAATCTGCTATGTATTAAAATTCTGGTATAGCATCACCAGTTGAGATTCTTTCTTAATAGTAACAGACCTATCAGGCCAATTTTTCCAGTTCCATCAAAGTTCATGTTTTTCTACACCTCTGTCATGGTTTAACCCCAGCCAGCAACTAAGCACCACACAGCCGCTCACTCACTGCCCCCCCACACCCAGTGGGATGGGGGAGAAAATCAGGAAAAGAAGTAAAACTCCTGGGTTGAGATAAGAACGGTTTAATAGAACAGAAAAGAAGAAACTAATAATGATAATGATAACACTAATAAAATGCCAACAGTAGTAATAAAAGGATTGGAATGTACAAATGATGTGCAGGGCAACTGCTCACCACCCACCGACCGACACCCAGCCAGTCCCCGAGCCGCGATTCCCCGCCCCCACTTCCCAGTTCCTACACTAGATGTGGCGTCCCATGGTATGGAATACACCATTGGCCAGTTTGGGTCAGCTGCCCTGGCTGTATGCTGTGCCAGCTTCTTGTGCCCCTTCAGCTTTCTCGCTGGCTGGGCATGAGAAGCTGAAAAATCCTGGACTTTAGACTAAACACCACTGAGCAACAACTGAAAACATCAGTGTTATCAACATTCTTCTCATACTGAACTCAAAACATAGCACTGTACCAGCTACTAGGAAGACAGTTAACTCTATCCCAGCTAAAACCAGGACAACCTCTTTATTTTCTTCCCTGAGGAAAGTTTATCAAAGTATCAATAATTGAAAGTATCAAATATTGAAAATATCAACAGTTGCTTTGAGTATTTTCAAGCAATTATATATTCTCATCTGATGGCAGCTACATCCAAAGCACGTAGATTGCTTATGAAAAACCCCTACTGCATGAAAAAAATTAAGGAAGTATATTGCAGTTATGTTCCCTCATTTTAAGGCAAGGTACACTGTCAAGCAGAAAATAGGCTGGTTTGCCGCAAGCTGCTCATCAACCCCATTAGCAGTTTCATTGTTTTATTACGATCTATGGAATTCTGTGATTCTTCATCATTGTAGTGAAAAGGATGGCAAAGTGAGGAAAAGGAACAGAATTTTTTACTTCTAGGAAGTTCTGGTGGGTTGGGGTTTTTTGTCTTTTTATTTTTTTGTTTTCCTATTAATTGGAACAAAATTTATAAAATCAGGGAGCCTTCATGAAACAAGATATTTCTAAATCACCGATTCTGCAGTCCCCAGACATTTCCTTCTATTTATTGCTGCTTTCACCCAAGCCACTTTGGAAACTTTGGCCCAAATTCCTCCAAACACCTGTGCTTCCTAATTGGGTATTACTAGGGAAACATTGTCTCCTCAGAACTACAAGGTGCATCACAGAAGTTTCAACAACAGACTATAATGAAACGCTATTTTGTCTGAAATTTTGCAGTACATCCTGTGGAGAAAAGAAAAAACAAAAATAAAAAAAGGAAGCTGAATTACTGGCTGGATGGACAAGCCCAAAGGGTTGTGGTGAATGGAGTTAAATCCAGTTGGCAGCCAGTCACAAGTGGTGTTCCCCAGGGCTCAGTATTGGGGCTGGTTCTGTTTAATACCTTTATCAACGATCTGGATGAGAGGATCGAGTGCACCCTCCGCAAGTTCACAGACGACACCAAGTTGGGAGGGAGGGTCGATCTGCTTGAGGGTAGGGAGGCTCTACAGAGAGATGTGGACAGGCTGGATCGATGGGCTGAGGCCAATTGTATGAAGCTCAACAAGGCCAAGTGCCGGGTCCTGCACTTCAGTCATGGCAACCCTGTGCAGCGCTACAGGCTTGGGGAAGAGTGGCTGGAAAGCTGCCCGGCAGAGAAAGACCTGGGGGTGCTGGTTGACAGCAGCTGAATATGAGCCAGCAGTGGGCCCAGGTGGCCAAGGAGGCCAACGGCATCCTGGCCTGTATCAGAAATAGCGTGGCCAGCAGGAGCAGGGAGGTGATCGTCCCCCTGTACTGGGCACTGGTGAGGCCGCACCTCGAGTCCTGTGTTCAGTTTTGGGCCCCTCACTACAGGAAAGACATGGAGGTGCTGGAGCGTGTCCAGAGAAGGGCAACCAAGTTGGTGAGGGGCCTGGAGCACAAGTCTTAAGAGGAGCAGCTGAAGGAACTGGGGTTGTTTAGTCTGGAGGAGAGGAGGCTGAGGGGAGACCTTATCGCTCTCTACAACTACCTGAAGGGGGTTGTAGTGAGGTGGGTGCTGGTCTCTTCTGTCAGGTGGCTGGAGAGAGGACGAGAGGAAATGGCCTCAAGTTGAGGCAGGGGAGGTTTAGGTTGGATATTAGGAAAAATTTTTTTACTGAAAGGGTCGTCAGGTATTGGAACAGGCTGCCCAGGGAAGTGGTTGAGTCACCATCCCTGGAGGTATTCAAAAAGTGCGTAGACAAGGCACTTCAGGACATGGTTCAGTGGGCATGGTTGTTGGTTGGACTCAACGATCTTGAAGGTCTTTTCCAACCTAAATGATTCTATGATTCCATGATTTTAGACTCAACAGACTTGATAGTTTTGTTTGTACCTCTAAGCAGAGCTTTTATAAAGTCATACATGGCATAACTTTTGTGAAATGTCTTTTATACAATGTCTGTCTCTTGTACAATTTCTGTCTAGGTAAAACTGATTCTTATGGGGCAAACTGGATAGAATTCTACGGAACCTAGAGTGATTGTTTCTGCTGTATTCATTTTAGGGCTGTACTGACACAGAAACTGATACCCCCAGTATGTTCTCCAGACTTGCTAGCAGACAGATTTCCTAAGAACTGTGTAAAGACACAACTCAAACTAGTGACATAACAGTCAAACCTAAACTGAAGAGCCATTATTCTGGGATTTGTGAGAAGGTAATAGACTGTGTAATATCTTAATTCTCTGACAACTGGTAGGTTAACAAATCTGCACATTTTACCATAACTAATCATGAAGGTTTCTGCCAAGAGGATGGGGATAACCTATGAGTTAACACAATGAGTAATGACTTAGAGGCTGTAAAAGGTCATCAGCTTTTTATTTCCACCCTGGTTCACTATTCAGGTGTCTTTGTTGCATTTCTGACAAGTAATGGTGCTGTTTTAGTGAACTTAGCATCTGAATGGTATGTTGTCTTGTGTTTGGTTTTACATGTATGTTCAGTAATATTTGTATTTCACTGACCAAATTACTTGGTCAATCTTTCTGTTGACTCACCATTTGTTATCAAATGAACCCATATGGTGAGAGGTAAAAACCAAGGCTATTTTTAGGATATCACTACTTTTCAGTCAGTCCTCTGGTGTCCCCTTTTTTTTCTTTTTCCTATACTTTGCATTTCACGTATGTGAAATATTGTGACATACCTATATGTCATTTATATCTTTCTTATCTGTGTTCATTTTTCAGACAGCTGTAGATGCTGATGACATATCCATGGTGGAACTGAATGTCACACAGTACACTGCTACACCTACTGTAAGAATTATTATTTTAATATTAGGCATGGGTCTAACTAACCATGGGAACAAAAACTAATGACAATCCCAGTCTCTGAGTACAAATGAAGTTAATTTTAAGTAAAATGATACTCTCAGCAGAATATAGAAAACATGTCCACAAATGGTAGAGCATTGCTGAAACTAAGCAGAACACATGTACTACAGAGTTCTCCTTAAGTCCAACTTCTTCAAGGAACTTGAATATTTTCTTGAATTCAGTAGGTCACCTGATTAGGTTTGTGATTTCCTTGGTGGAGCATGGAAGCATTAATTTTGTGCCATCTTTATAGGAATAATATGCACAGTAACCTAAGATAGCCATTGTGATGGCCGTACCTCTGAGACAGCCATAGTCTTGTGGCAAGTACTGCTGTACAAAGTGACATTGTTAACTATTTAACGTTCTCTGTTTTGGGTAGCAGCAAACATACAAAAAATGCAACTTGAAGGAAATCAAGGTAAGTTTTTGAAACATGCCATATCACCTATTCAGTAAGATGTTGTGCTTAGTGTCTATTTCTTCTTCTATGTAACAAAGCTACAGCATACTGATTTTTTTTTTTTTTTTACATCTGCCACAAGTGAGTCAGCTTGCCTTAATTCTTGACAGACAGGGAAATAAGAGAAAAGAGTTGACAGTTGAAAACAAGCCAGTTTTATCTTTGCAGTATTAACCCCAATGTAATATAAACATCTTAAATTATCTCTGTATTGTTAGCAGTGATCCTTACGAGCTATTGCTAGCCTCATCCCAACACTCTCATTTTTTGGTCTTGTGCAAGTGACAGCTAACATTGCTATTGTCAAAAAATGCTAATTAATCTTTCCCTCAATTCCTGTTTTCACTTCATTTTCTAGTTTGCTTCGCCCTTCAAACTATCCATGCTGTTACCGCTACATTTTGCATCACCTCTTGCCCCAATGAACTTAAACAGTCTCTCTTTATGGAGGGACTCCTTACTTGATTGAATTCATAGACTGCTTGAGCATATTCACAGCACTTTTGTTCATAGTTGAATGTGCTGTCATCAGCCTGGTCTTTCATCAAAGTAAACCAGCTCTTAAGTAGCAAATGCAAAGTCTGTGCTTTAAGTACATTAACATGTTTAACAGTTTTTTTCTCTAAGTTATTCACAAAATATTAAAAAAATGCTCAGATCTACTTTTTCCTCAATTCTTTAAGTTTGGTTTTGAGTTAGTCGTGGGGATCGGCAAAGTGCTTATCTAAATATATGCCACTTTTTCATAGATGATGCAACCTGATCTCCTTGTAGATGTTTGTGTTTTCCATTTCTTTTAAATCCTTGCATCCTTCAGAGAGGTGACAGCCTGAATGGTATTGGACAAAGAAAAGGAGAGTCTCACCACAGACCATCTGCAGCCCAGACACCCAGCATTACAATAACATACAGCAATTTCCAAGGAGTAGAGCTGCCTTCTGGATACAACTCTGGTTTCCTGCACCCCAAGATCAACAGCCACAAGCAGAACAAAAAGTCCAACAGCTGAGTGAGTGGTGCAAGCCAGAATGTCACTTTAGCCAATACCTCTGGAACAACTATGGACCAGCTGAATGCAGAATACCTTCCTACATTGTTCTGAAACGCTCCTTACAAAGACACAACACAAGACAGGATAAAAGCAAGATGAGTAAGCTTTTCAGCATCAGAACTCTCTCCAGTGGTTCACTTCTTAATCTGAGTCACATTGTAATTTTATTATTTCTTCTTTATGCAGCTCATGAAACAATTTATTTCACTTGGATTTTACTCAGCTCAGGTATATTCCACCACTGCATGGATCTTACCTACCAGCCTCCTAGGATTAACTTGAGAGGAAAGGGAAGTATGAGATTCAAAACTGGCCTTTGTTCACTTAATGTGGCTTAACTTCAAAGCTATTACAGAGTGAAAGCTGAAAGATTTGGGGAAAAAATGTACATTACATCCTAAGATGGTTTCTTCATTATTGTGAAGTTCTTCAGCCAAACGAAAACTTAACCACACAGTCAGTGCTCCCTTCTCTCATTAATGACACATTTTCCTTCATCTTCTTCTATAATCCAATTGAAAGGCAATGCACTTGAGCAGTAATTTGAAGTCTCAGACCTTTAATTTCTGAGATTCTGGGGGAAGAGAAAGGAGTAACACTGAGGATGAGGCTATGGTCCTTTCCATACTTAGCTTCTTTTTGCAACAGTCACTTAAGAGACCAGTTTAACCCACTCTTAGCTGACCTCTATAGCTATAGAGCTATAGCAAAGTATTAAGAAACTCCAGGCTTTCCTTTAGCAGGTTTCGTGAGAAGAATGCAGAATTCAAAGCAATGTTTGTACTGAAATATCTTATGAGTAAGTCAATATATCTGCCATCTAATACTTCGAAGTGGTTTACCTTAGATGTGCTTTTCTAAAGTAAATCTCGGGAGAAGGGTTAGTTCTCCAAAAATAGTTGTTCTAGAGATGTGTGGAATCCACACCTTCCCCACTTTAGCATTTTAATTTTTCCCTTCTCTAAACAGCAGCATTCTTATAGGTGAAGTTTTTTTCCACAGTGACTAAATCCATGAGATTGTACTTATTTCTCCCAAAAGGAAAAGACTTCTATGAAATAGTCATTTTCTGCTTTTCCCCAGTGCTCCTTCTAGCACATGAGAATAAATGGACAAAATTAATTTGCAAACCATAGCAGTCTACATCACAAGAATTATTAGGTATAGTCTGTCCACAGTGGGGATATATACCTTCTGCGCCCAAAAGCACAGGGCACAAAGAGCTATTGAAACAGTTCTTCCTCATGGGCCCTCTAGTAATTCTCCCTTTGGTTGCAATAATGGAGGGAACCTAGCAAGTCATTTTGTCCTAAGTAAATCAATTCTTCCTTATGTCACATCAGAAGAAGCCATAAAATCAATAAAAATGTAACCAGCTTATTCCTTTGAGGGGAGAAAAGTAATCAGTGGGTTCCAGAAGATTTGGGGCATTGTTTTGAAGCAAACTTTTGGAAACTTACTTCAAACTGAGGTTTATTAAAAGGAAGGTTATTAAAACTAAAAATGGAGGTGATAATAACTTCTGCAGCAGCCAAATGTTAGATTATGAAAAAGTGGGCTCTTCAGGCTGGTAATAAACTGCCAAAAGCAACAAACTGTTCAAAATCCAGGACATTTTTATATAAATAAAATCATAGGCATTAAAGATGGAAAGGAGCTACTACAGGTCCGCCCTTCACCTACCACAACCGGATATTGTCTCCAGGCAGAGCACAATATTAAACTGATAATATATACAGCTAGCAATAAGGAGAAATAAGAAAGAAAACATATCATCTTCAAACAGGAAGTATGTTCAAAGATATTCATCAAGTCTAAGGAATTTTATTATGACTTATTGCTTAGGCTTTTAAAATTATTTAAAAACATGAAGCATGTAATTCTTCCCACCCTTTGTCATGAAGGCCATTCACACCAGTGAAAACTGGGAAGAAATGCTAGCGAATGCTGTCCATTTCATATGGGTCACAAAAGGCTGAACCTGTCAAGAAAATAGGTCAAAACTCACACATGCTGTTTCATGTGTTAATAAGAAGTGCATGGTACGTGTCATTAAGAGCTAGACCTTTTGTTCCTGCCATGATTTTGTTCCCAAATAGTATTCTTGAAGACTACACTCTGCACTATTCTGCATTCCCTTCCACTTTTAGAGAGTATAAAAAGAATACTTCCATGGCTAGAAAAGCCTTACGAATCCACAGCATGTTGTTCTCTATATCCTTCAACTCCAACATGTACTAGAGATTAGTTTGTATCTATAAAAAGAACTACAGCTGTTCATGCTTGTCTACTTACAAGAGGCTTGAAAAGCATATATTAATTAGGGAGAATTTGTTTGGGAGCACTTCAAAACTCGTGTGTACGCCCTGTGTAACTAACGGCTTTGCATTCCCTTCACCTCTACTGAGACTCTAAAAATCATTTAGGGGAAAGCCTACAAAATTCATTTCACCCGAATATCTCTCCAAGTGATTCACACTGTAACCCCAGTGGCATTTGGAATAAATCATTATTAGTTCATATTTCATCTCATCTCAGCAGCTTTATTTGTGTCCTGTATCCTCTACTTGGCAGCCATTCTTTCCGCTTTGCTGTCTCTTTACTCCCTTTAACACAGATGACTGATTGGATTAAAATAATTTAGGACTGAGATGTTTCATGTTTCAGTTAAAGTCAACTGTACAGCCTGTTCTGCACTAGAGAGACCGCCTGTAGTTTACCATGCACTTGGGCATGTTCCAGTGACTTAGAGGTGTGAAAGGACTAGAGCAAAACTGAGGCGCTTCCCTTTGGCCTTTTGTACTACAGCAGCTGTTCATAGAGCAGCCTGCTGGCAAAGGCAACAGCAAGCAGGTTTGTGAGTTAACAGACAAGCTCTTCACCTCCGTGGGCTGGAGCTCAAATTTAGACGTGGGTCACAAGTGAAAATGTTTGGTCTGATTATCCCAGCAATTCTGCAAAACTGCTGAGCAATGGGTCACTATTGGTGGTCCTGCAAAGAAGGTGCCAAGAGCCAGTGTAATAAAAGGTTGTTGCAAGTCAAGATTGAAGTACTGCACTAGGCAGCAGTCACAAGCTGCCAATCTTTCCAATTTTCACATACTGCCAGGAATATTAGTCCCTATGTTTTGCAGGTTACAGCCTCATTTTCCATACTTTTGGAAACTGTTTTGCGTCTACCACTGGACTAAAACATGTTATTGTAGCATGTGACATTGAGTAAATTTTCACACATTCTCGGGTAAGACAGAGTAGCAAAAGTTATTTTTCTTGAAGTCATAAGCAAAAACAACAGCAAGCTTGACATTCAGAAAAAACCAAAGGCACCTCCAATGCTTTTTGGGTGTTTCTACAGCTCTTTAGAGCCATACACAGGTAAGTTGCATGTGTTCCCGTTTTCCTCAGTGTGACCGGTGCCATTTTTTACTTAGGCCATTCCAAGAAGTGCTGCAATGTGGCCCTCATCCTCTGATCCCTCAGTGAAAGATATTACCATCTCAGTAACTCTGACAGGGCATCTGGCTGTCTCTGCTTCTGAAACCACTATTTCCACAGGGCTCTGTTGAGAGAGGGCCCTTATTTGCAAAGCAATGTTAGTATCAGACAATGGTATTTCAGTGGCTGAGCAACAGGTATCTCAGTTCAAACACTTGTGCTTGTAGCCTTGCAGTTGATAATGTCATAGGAATATAAGGAATCCCATGTTATAAATAGATTTATATAAAAGCAATCTTATAACAAAGAAATAAATTATTAGTACTGTCATTCCTAGCAACCCTAGACATGGGCCACAATCCCATACACTAAATGTTTCATGTAGAACAAAATGATTACTATACCTTCCTTACCCCATCAAATTTATAGCCCAAATGCTCATTTTCAAACTCATGCAAAGTTCACAGTTGTCAAAATTTATAAGTTGTCCTATTTACATCCCTTCTAAGAACAGTAGACCGAGTAGACCACCAATGTAAGCTTAATACAGCCAGAAAAGTTTCTCTAGAGCAAATCTAGCCTTAACAGTCTAATACAAAGCACAAACAGTAGTAAGAAGATTTTTTTTGTAGGAAAGTACTTCTTTTAGTTACAGCAGTCCTGGCGGCAGCAGGGTTCTGCTGGAGACACAGCACAGGAATTCTAGGTACCTGGCTCACAGAGCAAAGCAAATGCTGCAAGAGTCACGTCAGTGTAGGAAAATGCTAGTACATTTTCCAAACACTGATATCACCTCACTGTGTATAGAGAAGTCAGGATCTCGTGATATTAGACTACAAAGCTGGCTTCATGGTATTTGGTTCACGTATTACCTACAGACACTTTTTGGCAATGAAATTGGCTGTCAAGATCAAGATTCACCTGAAACTGGGGGTAAACATTAGGACCAGTGGCTAGGAGGAATGGAAAGGGATTCAGCCCTCTTTACAGTGAACTCTTCCTCCCTACCCTTCTGGGTTTTGTTTTGTTTTGTTTTGTTTTTTTTATAACTTACACAAACAGCGGTATTGATGCAGATTTAGTATCAAAGATTTTTTTTTATCACTTTCAGGAAAATTCTAACCAACCCTTGCCAAGGAGACTTTATGTTGGAGAACCTTTTTAGGACCCACTTTCATTTGGGCTACTACAGTACATACTCAGTCATAATCCAACAGATCTATGATTCAGAAGCACACAAATTCATAGCAAAAATGGCCTAAGTAGGTCTTCTGATGATGACTGTAACTTGAAAGATAAGTAGAAATTGTAGAAACACCCTTTTTAACTTTATCAGGCTTGAGTCAAGCCTTAGGTATGCCATAGAGCAGAGTGAGCTGCAGCATAGGTTAAACTGTCTCAGCACACAAACACAGACATAACCAGAAAGTAAAGCTCATCATGTGCCTCTTAGTCCATTACTGTCTGATGTCTTCTTCTACAGAGTCGTACATGATTTTCTAACATTACAGTTTACCCTGGAG